ATGACTGCCAGGTTACAGGTGTGCGTTTCACTGTGCGTGTGCGCGCGTGTGTGAGACCTCGGTCAGCCGGTCGGAGCTCGGGGATTTGAACATGTTGCTGTTGTAGGCGGAGTTTAACGTGAGGTCGTCCATGCTGGTGATGAGGTGAGACACGGCCCTCTCCTCCAGCTTGGCCTTCTGGGAACGTTGGCTGTCGCCTAGCAACCACAGCGCCGCCTGCTTCCTGTGAACACAAACACATTTAGACGTTTGACAGAAACTGTGTGCTGCTGCTCCTGGTGGATCATTAAAGTCCGACAGGTGTTCCTTTCTGCCTTCCAGGTAAACCACAATCTGGGACTCACTCTTCCAGGAAGTTCTGCTGTGGTCCAATCACAGAGCCCGGTCTGCAGATCCTGATCCAGGCGATGGCCTCGCCTGCCGTGAAGCGGTAATGTTTCATCAAGTAACAGCCAATCAGAGTGCCTGTCCTGCCCAGTCCAGCTGACAAACAGACAGACAGACAGTCAGAACCTCCAGAGAACCAGAACCACACAGTTATAGAACAGGAAGTCATAAGACAGGAAGTCATAAGACAGGAAGTCATAGGACAGGAAGTCATAAGACAGGAAGTTATAGGACAGGAAGTCATAAGACAGGAAGTCATAAGACAGGAAGTCATAAGACAGGAAGTCATAAGACAGGATGTTATAAGACAGGATGTTATAAGACAGGATGTTATAAGACAGGAAGTCATAAGACAGGATGTTATAAGACAGGAAGTCAGAAGACAGGATGTTATAAGACAGGAAGTCAGAAGACAGGAAGTCAGAAGACAGGATGTTATAGGACAGGAAGTCAGAAGACAGGATGTTATAGGACAGGAAGTCAGAAGACAGGATGTCAGAAGACAGGAAGTCATAAGACAGGAAGTCATAAGACAGAGGCGCTACTCGCTATACAGTGAGCTCGCCATTGTGTAGTGCTGTCTGAATGTATAGTGATAATTATTAGTATCTATGTAGTCCACTCAGCAGAGGTGGGATTAAGTCACACATGTCCAAGTCACAAGCAAGTCTCAAGTCTTCAAATTTGCGACTCGAGTCCCCCGTCTCTGCCACTCAGTGTATCCCAGAATGCATTTTGAAAAGTAGTGTAGAACCGATGGTCACTAACCAAGCCTTATATACCATCATGCATTGCACTGAAAAAAATAAAAAATAAAATAAACAGTCCACCAACTGACTGTCTGACGGCAGTGACGTCATTAACGGCGCTGAAATAATGACCGGACAGTGATGTTTTCATAATGCAGGCGAGCTCACTGCATAGTCCTCCCTGCGCAGGGGTGCAGTGTGGTAGTGAGTGGGGAGTTCGGACACAGCCAGGAAGTTGTATGAAGGTACAGGAAGTCCTCACCCTTGCAGTGGACAGCGACAGCGCCATCCGTACTCTCACAGATGTGCAGGAAGCGGCGGGTAATGATGTCATTGGGCGTGCTCCCATCTAAGAAGAAGAGGTCGTAGTGGTCGAAGCCGGCGTCCGTGAAGCGCTTGCTGTCGTAGATCTTCTTGTCAGGCGGATGACGGTGGTCACGTTGTGTTTTCTGAAGTAAGGGAAGTACGCCTCGGGGGCGTGGAGGGGGTAACCTGCAGGGGGCGGAGCAACCACAGGTGTTAAACAGCAGCCCGACAACAAATTCTAGCTTGGACACGCCCCCTTTCTGACCCGCAGGACCCCATCAGGTGCAGCTGACTGAACTCACCGTTCTCTACTTTGGTTTTAGGATGAGGTCCGCTGAAGGCCAGGAACTTCCCCGGGACGATCCAGTTGAGATCTCCATTCTCCACCCGCTGCAGACAAACAGAGGACGGGAGGTCACAGGTGATAACCAGCATCAACATTACAACACAACAGATGAGGGCCAGTTTAACCATCTTTGATCCTGTTGGGTGAATCAAGTCCTGAATGTCCCAAAACCTTCTCCAGCTTAATCACAATAAAACAGAAATCCTTATTTTTGGCCCTTAAAGTCTGTTTAAAAAACATCAACCCTGCAGCCTGACACCTGGGTGTAATGCTGGACCGTGACCTTTCCTTTGAAAAACAAATGTTGTTCGATCCTGTTTTTATCAGAAACATCTCAAACATCAGGTCTTTTCTCTCTCGGTCTGATCTTAGGAAGTTCATCGCTGCTTTATTTCATGTACGTTGGATAATTGTGATTCACTGTATTCAGGGCTGAGCTAAAAACGCAGCCGCTCGACTTTAACAAACACAAGAGATCACACCAGCCCTGTTTCAGCCTCCTGGTCAAGTGATTTTAACTGATCACTTTCAAAGCACTTCGTGGTTCTTACCCAGCTACACTGCTGAGTAGCTGCTCCCCTATGAGCCCGAGCCTCAGGTCCTCGGCAGCAGGGCTCTGTTAGATGTCCTGAGCCCCTGAGCTCTGGACCTCCCTGCCTGAGAACGCAAGGTGACATCTTTAAATCACTTCTCAAGTTTTACCTTTACAAAACAGCCTCTTTAATTTTAGTCCTTCCTTTCTTCTCATTTTAAATTGCTCTGTCTTGAAATATTTTTAATTTGTTTTCCATCCATGTCAGGTTTTAATAAGTGCTGTAAAAATAGAGTTTATTATTACTACAGTGATCCTCCTGAGGGAGGCGCTCCGCTCTCACCACAACCTGTCAGACACTTCCTGCTGCACAGTAAACACACAGACTTTAGATTGTAACATGTTCTTTGTTGATGTGTTCTGCTTTAGGATGAATTATTATTTCATTATCTTTTGTCTTCTTTGAGTTTGTTCTAATTCTGTAGAAACTCTGCACTGACTGTGGTGAGTTGAGGCTGTGGTGAGGTGAGGCAGTGGTGAGGTGAAGCTGTGGTGAAGCTGAGGTGAGGCGAGGCTGTGATGAAGCTGAGGTGAGGCGAGGCTGTGGTGAAGCTAAAGCTGAGGTGAGGCTGTGGTGAGGTGAGGCTGTGGTGAGGCTGTGGTGAGGTGAGGCAGTGGTGAGGTGAGGCTGTGGTGAGGCTGTGGTGAGGTGAAGCTGAGGTGAGGCTGTGGTGAAGCTGTGGTGAGGCTGTGGTGAAGCTAAAGCTGAGGTGAGGCTGTGGTGAAGCTAAAGCTGAGGTGAGGCTGTGGTGAGGCTGTGGTGAGGTGAGGCAGTGGTGAGGTGAAGCTGTGGTGAAGCTGAAGTGAGGGGAGACTGTGATGAAGCTGTGGTGAGGTGAAGCTGAGGTGAGGTGAGGCTGTGATGAAGCTGTGGTGAGGTGAAGCTGAGGTGAGGTGAGGCTGTGATGAAGCTGTGGTGAGGTGAAGCTGTGGTGAGGTGAGGCTGTGATGAAGCTGTGGTGAGGTGAAGCTGTGGTGAGGTGAAGCTGTGGTGAAGCTGAGGTGAGGTGAGGCTGTGAAGCTAAAGCTGAGGTGAGGCTGTGGTGAAGCTAAAGCTGAGGTGAGGCTGTGGTGAAGCTAAAGCTGAGGTGAGGCTGTGGTGAAGCTAAAGCTGAGGTGAGGCTGTGGTGAAGCTAAAGCTGAGGTGAGGCTGTGGTGAGGTGAAGCTGAGGTGAGGCTGTGGTGAGGTGAGGCTGTGGTGAAGCTGAGGTGAGGTGAGGCTGTGATGAAGCTGTGGTGAGGTGAAGCTGAGGTGAGGTGAGGCTGTGATGAAGCTGTGGTGAGGTGAAGCTGAGGTGAGGTGAGGCTGTGGTGAAGCTGAGGTGAGGTGAGGCTGTGATGAAGCTGTGGTGAGGTGAAGCTGAGGTGAGGTGAGGCTGTGATGAAGCTGTGGTGAGGTGAAGCTGTGGTGAGGTGAGGCTGTGGTGAAGCTGAGGTGAGGTGAGGCTGTGATGAAGCTGTGGTGAGGTGAAGCTGAGGTGAGGTGAGGCTGTGATGAAGCTGTGGTGAGGTGAAGCTGAGGTGAGGTGAGGCTGTGATGAAGCTGTGGTGAGGTGAAGCTGTGGTGAGGTGAGGCTGTGATGAAGCTGTGGTGAGGTGAGGCTGTGGTGAGGTGAAGCTGTGGTGAGGTGAAGCTGTGGTGAAGCTGAGGTGAGGTGAGGCTGTGGTGAGGTGAAGCTGAGGTGAGGTGAGGCTGTGAAGCTAAAGCTGAGGTGAGGCTGTGGTGAAGCTAAAGCTGAGGTGAGGCTGTGGTGAAGCTAAAGCTGAGGTGAGGCTGTGGTGAGGTGAGGCTGTGGTGAGGTGAGGCTGTGGTGAGGTGAGGCTGTGGTGAGGTGAGGCTGTTGTGAGGTGAAGCTGAGGTGAGGCTGTGGTGAAGCTGTGGTGAGGTGAGGCTGTCGTGAGGTGAAGCTGAGGTGAGGCTGTGGTGAGGCTGTGGTGAGGTGAGGCTGTCGTGAGGTGAGGCTGTCGTGAGGTGAAGCTGAGGTGAGGCTGTGGTGAAGCTAAAGCTGAGGTGAGGCTGTGGTGAGGCTGTGGTGAGGTGAGGCTGTGGTGAGGCTGTGGTGAGGTGAGGCTGTGGTGAAGCTAAAGCTGAGGTGAGGCTGTGGTGAGGCTGTGGTGAGGTGAGGCTGTGGTGAGGCTGTGGTGAAGCTGTGGTGAAGCTGTGGTGAAGCTGTGGTGAGGTGAGGCTGTGGTGAAGCTAAAGCTGAGGTGAGGCTGTGGTGAAGCTAAAGCTGAGGTGAGGCTGTGGTGAGGCTGTGGTGAGGTGAGGCAGTGGTGAAGCTAAAGCTGAGGTGAGGCTGTGGTGAAGCTAAAGCTGAGGTGAGGCTGTGGTGAGGTGAAGCTGAGGTGAGGCTGTGGTGAGGCTGTGGTGAGGTGAGGCTGTGGTGAGGTGAGGCTGTTGTGAGGTGAAGCTGAGGTGAGGCTGTGGTGAAGCTGCGGTGAGGTGAGGCTGTCGTGAGGTGAAGCTGAGGTGAGGTGAGGCTGTGGTGAGGTGAAGCTGAGGTGAGGTGAGGCTGTGGTGAAGCTAAAGCTGAGGTGAGGCTGTGGTGAAGCTAAAGCTGAGGTGAGGCTGTGGTGAAGCTAAAGCTGAGGTGAGGCTGTGGTGAAGCTAAAGCTGAGGTGAGGCTGTGGTGAGGTGAAGCTGAGGTGAGGCTGTGGTGAGGTGAGGCTGTGGTGAGGCTGTGGTGAGGTGAGGCTGTGGTGAGGTGAGGCTGTTGTGAGGTGAAGCTGAGGTGAGGCTGTGGTGAAGCTGTGGTGAGGTGAGGCTGTCGTGAGGTGAAGCTGAGGTGAGGCTGTGGTGAGGTGAGGCTGTGGTGAGGTGAGGCTGTCGTGAGGTGAAGCTGTCGTGAGGTGAAGCTGAGGTGAGGCTGTGGTGAAGCTAAAGCTGTGGTGAGGTGAGGCTGTGGTGAGGCTGTGGTGAGGTGAGGCTGTGGTGAAGCTAAAGCTGAGGTGAGGCTGTGGTGAGGCTGTGGTGAGGTGAGGCTGTGGTGAGGCTGTGGTGAAGCTGTGGTGAAGCTGTGGTGAAGCTGTGGTGAGGTGAGGCTGTGGTGAAGCTAAAGCTGAGGTGAGGCTGTGGTGAAGCTAAAGCTGAGGTGAGGCTGTGGTGAGGCTGTGGTGAGGTGAGGCAGTGGTGAAGCTAAAGCTGAGGTGAGGCTGTGGTGAAGCTAAAGCTGAGGTGAGGCTGTGGTGAGGTGAAGCTGAGGTGAGGCTGTGGTGAGGCTGTGGTGAGGTGAGGCTGTGGTGAGGTGAGGCTGTTGTGAGGTGAAGCTGAGGTGAGGCTGTGGTGAAGCTGCGGTGAGGTGAGGCTGTCGTGAGGTGAAGCTGAGGTGAGGTGAGGCTGTGGTGAGGTGAAGCTGAGGTGAGGTGAGGCTGTGGTGAAGCTAAAGCTGAGGTGAGGCTGTGGTGAAGCTAAAGCTGAGGTGAGGCTGTGGTGAAGCTAAAGCTGAGGTGAGGCTGTGGTGAGGTGAAGCTGAGGTGAGGCTGTGGTGAGGTGAGGCTGTGGTGAGGCTGTGGTGAGGTGAGGCTGTGGTGAGGTGAGGCTGTTGTGAGGTGAAGCTGAGGTGAGGCTGTGGTGAAGCTGCGGTGAGGTGAGGCTGTCGTGAGGTGAAGCTGAGGTGAGGTGAGGCTGTGGTGAGGTGAAGCTGAGGTGAGGTGAGGCTGTGGTGAAGCTAAAGCTGAGGTGAGGCTGTGGTGAAGCTAAAGCTGAGGTGAGGCTGTGGTGAAGCTAAAGCTGAGGTGAGGCTGTGGTGAAGCTAAAGCTGAGGTGAGGCTGTGGTGAGGTGAAGCTGAGGTGAGGCTGTGGTGAGGTGAGGCTGTGGTGAGGCTGTGGTGAGGTGAGGCTGTGGTGAGGTGAGGCTGTTGTGAGGTGAAGCTGAGGTGAGGCTGTGGTGAAGCTGTGGTGAGGTGAGGCTGTCGTGAGGTGAAGCTGAGGTGAGGCTGTGGTGAGGCTGTGGTGAGGTGAGGCTGTGGTGAGGTGAGGCTGTCGTGAGGTGAAGCTGTCGTGAGGTGAAGCTGAGGTGAGGCTGTGGTGAAGCTAAAGCTGAGGTGAGGCTGTGGTGAGGCTGTGGTGAGGTGAGGCTGTGAAGCTAAAGCTGAGGTGAGGCTGTCGTGAGGTGAAGCTGAGGTGAGGCTGTGGTGAAGCTAAAGCTGTGGTGAGGCTGTGGTGAGGCTGTGGTGAGGTGAGGCTGTGGTGAAGCTAAAGCTGAGGTGAGGCTGTGGTGAGGCTGTGGTGAGGTGAGGCTGTGGTGAAGCTGTGGTGAAGCTGTGGTGAAGCTGTGGTGAAGCTGTGGTGAGGCTGTGGTGAAGCTGTGGTGAGGTGAGGCTGTGGTGAAGCTAAAGCTGAGGTGAGGTTGTGGTGAGGCTGTGTTGAGGCTGTGGTGAACCTGTGTTGAGGCTGTGGTGAAGCTGAAGCTGAGGTGAGGTTGTGGTGAGGCTGTGTTGAGGCTGTGGTGAGGCTGAAGCTCTGGTGAGGCTGTGAGTTGTTCTGCTCTGTTAAACGCTTTCTGCTTGTTCTGTTATTGATCTCCTCATTAAACCTGCTGAAAAGCTGAGGTGACCTTTTGACGAGTCTTCTAACTAAATTATGTACGACTCTGCAGAGACGGACGGGCCGCTGCTGGTTTTTACCTCATAGTGTTCGTACTCGCCCACGTCAAAGGTCTCAAAGTCGAAGAAGCCATGCTGCAGAGCCTGAAACAAATGCACAGAGGCATGACAGTGTTTTTATCCTTTCACCATTAAACAGGGTTTAAAACACGTTTTTAAAGCCCCTCCTACACAAATTAATCATTAACATTCTAATTATTTGTAGTAAAAGTCAAAGAGTTCACAGTTTATTTAGCCCCCTCCCACTAAAGTAAGAGTGTGACATTGTGCAGATGATGTCAGCATCCAGCTGGCCAATCAGAGCAGGGATGATTCAGACTCACCTTCCTGATGCCCTGCAGACAGTCCAGCACTGTGAGGTTGAAGGTGCAGTTCCCGAAGGCAGCGTCCCTGCAGAGACACAGACCAATAATCAATACTTCTGATCAACTGTACTGACCTGCAGCCGAGCCTGTCAGGTCTTTACGATGCTCAACGCACCGTGTGTACAACCACACACACCTGCAGCGGACAGTCTCTGCTGCAGGTCCAGGACTGGGAGCTCGGAGCCCCCAGTCCTGGTCCAAAGCTCCTGTGTAAACACCAACACTCCCTCGGTGCTCCAGCTCTGGGCAGAGTCAGCTAAGCTAATACGGGCGCTAGCTGCATGGCTAACTAGCTAACGGCAGCTACACTTAACGTTTACTTTAAAGCTTCCTGCCAATCCAGAGACTCCAGATCCAGGTCCACCAGAATCAGTGATTACAGGTAATCCGTGAAGCCCTGAGCAGTTCATCCCTGCCTCCTCTGCGGTCTGAGTGAATCCTCATGTTCAGCCCACATCGCTGAGGGGAGGAAATCATCCGGGGGGGATGTTAACACGTCCGAACACGGACCACGGAATCATGGGCCAGTTTATTAAACAAGTTGACGTAATGAAACGCACTGCTGACGGAGAAAGTGAGCAGACACACATACAGGGAGAGAGAGACAGAAAGAGGCGGAGCCAGCAGGTGTGTTCGCAGTGAGAGACCAGAGGTGAACGTGATGAAGAGAGGGAGCAGATTCAAGCAGGTGCACAGTGACCTAGAATAACCTACAATCAGCACAAATCAGTCCCTGCAGGATGTCGCGATCACAACTATTAACACAAATTCAACAAATCCCTGTGAATTCAGACAGACCCGCAAATCTGACCTCTCATTGCTAAACGCTGTCACACGTCAGCAAACTCACGTCCTTGTTCAGAAGACGCAGCAGACGTGTGATGCCAACGTCTCACATTTACCTACAGAAATAAACAGCAAAGGGCCGTGAAGACCAGGACCCAGATCTTCTTGCAGCATCGTGGTCGAACATAAAGGAAATCGTCTCCTGACAAACACTTTGGGAGAGAACGTCAGACACAGGCTGCTGCATCCGCTCAGCTGCAGGACAGAGTCAGCTGGTTTAAATCTGCAGGGTCAGGGTCCGGGTCAGGGTCCAGGTCAGGGTCCGGCCCGCAGAGTCCTGGAGGGACTGTTTTAGGCCCTGATCAGTCAAAGATTATAGCACCGGTGCTCTGTAATCCTTGGTTTTCCGCAAAGTAATAACCGTCATATTAGCAGAAACTTGATCACAACTCACAGGTCTGTGTCTTTTGTTGCTAAAAACAACTGGAAACTTCCGTCACCACAAATGAGGGCCCGTCTCTCCATTCACCATTGAATTTTTTTCAACTCCGTGCACTCAGAGCGCTCCTTTGAAAACGCGAGGCGCCCAGGGCGCATAAACAGCGCGCAGAACCTTCACTGACAATAAAATACAATTAAAAACAGGCGCCTCTCACAGCACAAGACGCGTTCTGTCTGATCCGGGCCTAATGATTCCACTACAATTGAAAAAAGGTAAAAAATGTTTCAGTTTTCACTTTATTCTCACAATCTCATCTAAAAAAAACGCCCTAAACATCTCAACTTCCATCGCAAGTTTTTTAGAAAAGCTGCTGCAACATCGCAAAAAAGGCAGCGAGATCCTGGAGGGACGGACAAATCGCTGTACGCCGCCGCCCCGGCCGCTGCCTCCACAGTTACACCGTTTTAAAAAGAGCTTTTCTGCCCAAATACAGAAAATATGGGCCTGTTCTCAGTGTAGTCTATACAGGAAAGGAGTCTACTGTCCAAATCATTTTCAAAAATCAAAATATCGGCTCATAAATTATGAGCCGATATTTTGGCGGCTTCTGCCCCCAAAAACCCACATCAGTCGGGCTCCAGTCCTGACAACAGGTCCCTCTTAATGAAAGACGAAGGTCTCACTCAGGTGATGTCTCTTCTCTCTTCACTGATACATGTCTCACACTGGGGGGGGACGGGGACTCTTCTATTTTTAAAGCATGAATACCAAACAATTAATCAATCCTCAAAATTTCCCAATTATTTTTTTTGTCCCCTTTGAGTGACAACACCTTTACAGAGAGGAGTGTTCACGGTAGTGATGCCCGATATGGACTTTCACCTTAATGATCAGATGACCTATATTTTATTGGGTTTCTCTGGTTGCTAATTTTAGCTGCTGCTTCGTCACTTTGACGAACTTTCAGGTGACCTTTAACATTTCTCGTGGTGAAACTTGCAGAACATGATTTGCATATTCCAACAGAGCGGTCTTCCATCCAAGCCGTCGACGACATGTCTGTTCGGGTCTCGCTGTCGGCTCTATCCAGGCGCCGCAATATGAGGTCATGAGCGCGACAACGGCAGCTACGCTAGTTCAGCCCTTCCCTGTGTGCAACACCTGCACTGACTTTAAAGAACAAAGAGTCGATGCAGCAGAGACGTCGTCGGTTTTGTTCCACTCCTTCCAAAACTTGTTATCAACATTACCCACAATGCAACTCTCCCCCTGACAGCCGTGTGTGAGATTGGGTTGCATTGAACTTTAACCTCTAGGTGTTTGCAATGGTTACCATCCAACTAAACTTCAAACTTCCTACAAGTAAAAGCATTCAGTCCTCTCAGACAGTCCGACGGTCAGTGAACGCCTCACTGCTGTCTGTCACTCAGTGGGCGGGGCTTCCTCATGTTTACTCCATCAGCAGCCTGCAGAGACTCATCAGACCTCGTCCACCCAACACCACCATGCAGTGCTGTTACATAACCAGAGACAACAACAAGCCCTTTATCCTCACAACACACACACACTGAAGGAACAACAAGCTGCAGCTTCAAACTAACTTCTGTTTCAAACCATCTGCAGGGGAACAACCCGTGCTCATGAGGCCGAGAGCAGTTCAAACACTTTTTAAGTTTCTCCTTCAGGTCGTTTCATTAAAGTCTCGTTCCGATCAAAGACGTTTTTCTTCGCTGCTGTGAAACGACGCTGCTGTAACGTTCTGTGGAGTTCAGTGTGTTTTAGCGTGGTGCACGTCACACGTCTGCTCTGCACCTGTTGAACCTGTGAGCGTCACAGCAGACTGAGGGTTTGCGTCCATCTGGATTCAGCTGCTTCACACAGGAAACGCAACCACGGTACTTGCTTTCACGCACAACGCGATGCGATTACATACAAGGTCAAAGACACGGAAGGGACGCGATTTCCTGCCGGGTGGCGTGCTGGAGGCCAAGTGTGTGACCACGAGATAAATCGCAGCAATACTCCATCGCATGAGTTGACATTTTTCAACTTGAGTGTGAAAGTCACACGGCGATAGTCTATCAGGGTTCAGACTGTCCAGACGTTACTGACAGATTCGGAGCGACGCTACAGGAGGCTGCTGGGAGAAAAGGACGAGAGGAAGCTGAACTACCTGAAAGATCAGAAAATATGAGTCTGTAACTTGATTCCAGCTGTCGTTGAACCTGATCGAACCAAACTCCATTCAGAAAATAATCATTTTAAAAGCCGTTTGTTTGCTTCTCATCTTGCTGACAGACCTGACAAAACATGAAGTCACATGTTTAACAGATCAGCATCATGACGTCGTTATTTCAGCATCAGTTTGATCCGTTTGTTGAAACTAAATCACAGCTAAAAGTTTACTTTGGGTTCAGCCGTAGTGATGGTGGGTTGCGTTTATTTGCTTTGTGTATGAACACTGAGGAGATGAGTCCAGCGGTCAAACTCATAATGTGTGTGAAACCGGTATAATAGTCGACTTACCGAAGCACCGCTGCTAACTGTACTAGCTACCATTAGCTAGTTAGCTCAGTTAGCCAACTCTGCTCAGACCGGGAGCTCAGAGCACAGAGCTGCTGTTGTTTATGCTGTTAGCGCAGGAGCTTTGCGCCGCTGGGAGGAGGAGGGTTTCAGATCCGGGGCGAGGGACCCTGTGGGCGCCAGGGAGGGGCGCCGGAATGAGCACCAGAACTGGAGCTGAGCGAGTGGGCAACAGGTCCGGGCTCAGGAGCCTCCCACGGCTGGACCGAGACAGAACACGGCCTCTAAGACCGACAGAGGCCGGTCTGAGTCTCAGCCAGATCCTGAACTGAAGGATCAGCTTCCTCTGTTCTTACAGGACAGAGTACAGATGGAACTCACCTGAAGGGCAGGTAGGAGGCGTTGGAACCAGAGATCAGAGCTCTGTAGGCTTCTTCTGGAGTTTTCTTCAGGTAGATCACCTGAGACGGAGAGAAGCGTTCAGACAAACATGGAAATCTGAAACTCTCTTTTGATGGAGCTAGTCTTTGTGCTAAGCTAGGCTAACGGTTTCCCTCTGCCTCCAGTCTTTGTGCTAAGCTAGGCTAACGGTTTCCCTCTGCCCCCGTCTTTGTGCTAAGCTAGGCTAACGGTTTCCCTCTGCCCCCCGTCTTTGTGCTAAGCTAGGCTAACGGTTTCCCTCTGCCTCCAGTCTTTGTGCTAAGCTAGGCTAACAGTTTCCCTCTGCCTCCAGTCTTTGTGCTAAGCTAGGCTAACGGTTTCCCTCTGCCCCCCGTCTTTGTGCTAAGCTAGGCTAACGGTTTCCCTCTGCCTCCAGTCTTTGTGCTAAGCTAGGCTAACAGTTTCCCTCTGCCCCCAGTCTTTGTGCTAAGCTAGGCTAACGGTTTCCCTCCGCCTCCAGTCTTTGTGCTAAGCTAGGCTAACATAAACTGGGTCAAAGACGTTTTCATCTGATGGTGTGATTTTTGGGGGGGTCTTTATAACATGATGCGTCTCTGCAGTACAGAATTTCATTTTAAAACATCATCTTCCACAAATACTGCGTCTCCTGCGAGTAGAAAGTAACTGTAGGTCATATTGTGATTTTGATAACATCTGGACGTTACTTTCAGCGGCCATCTTTCATGTTGCTTCATCTACATCTTCCTCCTGATGTTCACTGAAGAAAGAACAGCTTCTCCTCTCAAGACAAACTCGCAGTCAGACTTGAGTTCCTGCTGTGAACACATCTATCTCATCATGAAGCAGCAGCTGTCTGACATCAGCGGCAGCTCACACTAAAGGTAAACATCAACTGAAAGGTAACGTACAGTAGAGTCAGGTAGAAACCTGTTGCAGATCACCTGCTGATGCATCTGTGGTTTTCTGATAACTTCATTAGTCTTTGCATTCGATCAGTGTGATGCATCCAGACACCGAAACACACCAGGAGACGGTGAAGGAGCTGATTTCAGGTCAGATTAGTGCGTAACTGTGCAGACCGACACACTCAGTCAGTGTGTCAGCAGGTCCGATCAGAGCTTCTCTGTCACACAACCAACATCATCAAATATTCAACACACACACAGTCACAGTGTGTGTGTGTGTGTGTGTGTCCTCCCTGCACAGATCTGTGTTCAGTGACGTTAACACACATCATGCTGTGCAGCGTTTATATAACGAGACATGCTGATGAGACATTCTGAGTCTCAGTAACAGAAACTGACTCATTAAAGTCAGACCATCACCTGTAGGAACTTCACTACCCAGGATGCTTCTGGTGAGGAAGTATAATGGTGCAGTGAGTTAGCTGCTAGTTTTTCAGCCTTTGTGTGTTCATATTTAGTCAAATTGTCCCCGTTAGCTGAATCAGCTGTTAGCAGTTAGCATGGATGTGCAGACAGCGCTCTCTGTGATACTGAAGGAAACTTCTGCAGCGTAGCTTTCTGGTTCCTAAGCTGATCGTTGGCCGATTGATCTCACAGATCATGAAAAGCTCAGGGAGGAGGAGGAGCAGAGGTGTTTTAATGAGCTCTACTATCACTACAGTAACCAACTTCCTGTTGTTACAACACCTGCATGAACCCGTCCCCCAACAGGAAGAGATACTGATGACTCACAGCATAGCCTCCGATCAGCACGGCGGCGTTGGACCTCTTCCTCTGGTCAAAGCTGGTGTAGTGAACGATTCTCTTCCTGGTCAGAGTGAACGACTGCAGAGAAGAAGAAGAAACAAACGCCACATGAGGATCAGACCAGCGTCGAGTTGATCGGCAGAAAATCAATCAATGAATATCTGCAAGTTTCACTTTTTGAATTGAGTTACAGGAGAAAAAAGAACTTTTGATGTTTGGTTTTAATTTGTTATCTGATGCTCTAAAAGTTTCACATCGTGACTGACAGCTGAGCTGTGATTGGGTCAGTCTGGTGTGTGGGCGGGGCCTCGACAGCATTCAGCTTAAGTAAAGTTTTGAATGCAGGACTTTTAGTGGAGTATTTTTCACAGTGTAGTATTAGTACTTTTAGCGAATACTTCTCCAAACCTGCTTTTAACAAACCAAGTGGGTGAAAATAAGATGTAAGACAGTGACGTTCCACCCGTGTGGATAAAAACAGAAAGAGAGACTCACACATCAGCTCCATGTAATCTGCTGAACTGCTTCATGTGCTGCATTCAGGAACAGACCGACTGTTTATTTTCTGCAGCTCCACCTCGGGATAAATTTAACCAGGTTGCCTCTGCAGAGTCATCAAGTTAACTGGGGCTGGATCACAGTAACGGTAAATATCCTGATACACTGACTCTAAATACAATGAAGATGGTGTAAAACAAACGCACTTCATCACATTTTCTCCTTTTATTTGGGACTTAACCCTTTAGATTCCTGTAAAATTCACCTAAAGCACCGACCCACAAGGAACTGAATGTGGTTCTTGAACCACTTGAAGTGCTGCTGGATTCATTAATATAAGTTTGAATTTTGACTTGTGAGCTGTGAAACACTGTGGGGCTGCAGCCTGAAGCCTCACCTGGTCCAAGTTAAACTTTTATAGCAATATTTATATTTTATACAGGTTTTTCTGAGCGTTTAAAAAAAAAAAATCATTCTATATTAGCCGTCTTTACGCAGATGTTTTTTTTGCCGGCTCCTAGCTGAAGCTAGACATCTTTATTTTCAGAATCTTTCTTCAGCACACCCACGGCGTACCCACGAATTAATGGCTGGCCCTTCACTACAGCGCGGGCTCTGGTTGGCTGTTGTAGGCTGTGGACGGGACATGTGAGCTCCTATTGGGTCGAATTAGGGGTTAGTTGAAAGGTCAGAGTTTGGCAGCCATTTTCAAATCAATATATTGCATTTGTTTACATCCAAACCAGAGTTACTACCGTTATAATGAAATATTATATGATAATATGAACGGATATTCTGTGAATTTATTGATGGACTAAATGTTTTAACTGGCCTGGATCATCTGGACCTTTGATAAGGAAACAAGATGGATCGCACAGCAACACGCTGTTATTTACTGCTGCTCGTAGACTCTGCCTCGCCTGTCAGTCTGCCCTGTGAGGGGAACAGGTTCGCTGCAGACGATCTGAATCTGAATCCAGACCGTCCGGTCGGCCGGTCGCCATGACGAACCACAAACAGGCGACCAGAGGAATGTCATCCCCATGGCTACAAAAATCCAACAAAACAAAACACTGAAGACACCTGAAGCTTTACACGCCGCCACCTTCACCCAACAGGGGGAACGTGTTACTGTGCGTGTCACTCTCCTGTGATTGGTGCACTGCAGCTTGTGGAGTGGGGCACTTTATGTAAACAAGATTACTGATCAATATCTTTGGTAAAATAGGACACGCCGTGGCCTGACGCGCACCTCTCAATAATGTAACCACACGTCACGGCAGACTGTAAGAACTGTGATTGGTCGTCTCGGCAGCGTTGCATTTACTCCTACACGTTTACCTCAACTGCTTCAGGGGTCGTACACAACATCTCCTCCGACGCCTTCTCTCGTTTCTGCATTTCACTAATTTCACTGAAAGCAGCTGCTGTTCAGCATCAATCAGCTCCAACACGATCCGCTCACTTTACTTTTGGAGGTGTAACTGCAGAGCGACGCAGACACAACACGCACGCATAAATGCTCATGACGGCACGTTGACGGCGGCCTTCGGACTCAGCCAAACCAGGAAAACACTGAACTTTTCAGATATTCCTGAACGCATCACAACAACACTGCTGCTGAAAGAAAGTTTTAAAACCTTTACTTGGCATGTGGTACGGCAAAAATCATAATAAAGATTATTTTGAGATCATGATTATTTGACACGATTTCTCGCTGACTTGGGAAACATTCATAAAACTAAAACACTGATTTATGAATTACCCCAAACCGCCCCTGAAAAAAGAACCAGTTCCTTGAAACAGCATCTGAGAGGAAGAATGAGTGAGAGTCTGCAGTGAGAGTCTCTCCTATTGCATTCTGGGCATTCCTGACGTGGGCGCGTCAGCGGCAGAAACTCACCTTCAGCTTCTTGTTGAGTTTGCAGCAGTATCGGTACAACATGGCCAGATTCAGAGGGCCAAAGTCTGCGTAGAAACTGGAGACACAGCCAGAGGTTAGAGAGTAATCTGGTTACATCGTCCCAACCGTCAGACTACCTGCGGCTCAGCCACGGTGTACGTGACATCATCAGCCAGCAGCAGGCCGCTCATCACTACAGCTGAAACCGTTAATCAACAGTTTAACTGACAACTTGTGATTGGGATGAATCGATCAATTGATAATGAAAATATCAAGTGTTAATGTTAGCGCAGCAGCTACACAGGTGCTAATGTTAGCATTACATGTTGCATTACAACACTTATCGTTAATTATTATGAAGTAGGTAATTAATAAAGCAGAGGTTCACCGGCTCGTGAACTAAAAAGCACTTCTTATCATTTCAAATAACATCAGAACGGACCAGACTGTTGTCACGAGAGCCGATACCGAAGGTACCAAGTCGATACCAAAATTCCAAACCACATCAGTACTTGTAAAAGTAAGTATTTATATAGCACTTTTCACAGATAGAATTACAAGGTGCTTCACACTGAAACAACAAGACGCAGCTCTAGCTAAACAGCAGAAACACATTGACATATGGCAGACAAGTTTAAAACCGAGCAGCTGCTTTTTAAAGAAACAACACAGCGTAACGAAGTAGGGAGTACATTCCACAACCTGGGTGCAGCGGCTTGGAAAGACCGGCCTCCTCTGGTCTTAAAGTGGGTATGGGGAACTACTAACAGCCTCTGATCTAATGACCTTAGGTTACGGGGCGGGGGAGTTTGTTGCTCTAACAGGTCGGAGATGTAAGAGGGAGTTTGACCTTGTGACGCTCTAAAAGTAAGGACCAAGATTTTAAAATTTATTCTAAAAGGGATGATCGGACTGGAGTAATGTGCTTTCTTCTGCTTCGTATTAAGAGTCTAGCAGCTGAGTTCCAGACAGCTCGGAGGCGAGTGACTTTTTTATTACTACTTGTTTTTCTAGGTCCCGAAGGTACCGGAGATCCAACACGTGGAAGATGGAGACAAGCTAGAAAACGACTCCTTCTGCATACGAGCGTGTCGGACCTCAGTTGGAGCCAGTCCTATACTGCGCTGTGATTGGCCAGCTGTGTATTCTGGGCGTGGCTTAGCGAAGGATCAATTTCAGCAGTTTTTCCTGTCTAAACATCTGACATGAAACCGCCTCTCATCCGTCCTGGACGTCCTCTCTCACAGCGGCTCTAATGTTCACATGTTTTATTGAAGTCCATGATGAGACCTACTGTTGTGGTTTTTACAGTGGTGTTGAGAATCGCAGAACGTTACCGGTATCAGCTACTAACTTTCTGTGACGTCCCTAAACACGACAGCTAGGGCCGACTTCTCTTGGCGAGTAGCAGAGAACAGCAGAATTACTGACATTATTCTTTAAATAAATAAATAAAAAAAGAATAAGGAGCCGATAGAAGAATTGATCAGACTATTTGTACAGATCATGTTTCCAGTCTGGGCTCGCAGTTTACCGACACTTTATTATTTTGAAATGAGTCAGACTTACTTTTCGTAGAGGAACTCGTCGTCAGTGCAGAAGTAGTGCGTGTTGGCGGTGCTTTTGGGTTTACTGCGTAACGTGGCGAAGTACAGCCGCTCTGTTAAAGACACGGAGATAAACGGGTTAAAACACTGAGAAAACTGAACCAACTCTGAATCCAGAGTCAGCTGACGGGTCCATCACTGCAGTCTGAACGGGATCAGATGTTCTGTTCACTCGGAGTCGAACATACAGAGTTCATTAGCTGCCAGTAACAGGTGATCCTGAACACAACACCTGATCCAGAACGGAGACGCTGCGGTGGACTAAAGAAACCAGCACGTGTTCACGGCCTCCTGCTGTTCACACCCACTGACGTCTTCAGATCATTGTTCACACATGAAGAGGAGGTCAGAGGAGGAGGTGAGGAGAGCACCCGACTGTTGGTTTAACATGAGAGCATGTTGCTAAGCTGTCCTTTAGCTTTACACTATCAAAGTTCATTCAACACTCAGTTATGGCTCCTGTCTCTTTAAGGCCCCCCTCCCTGGGAGCCCACTTGCTACTGATTGGCCAACTGCCCTGAGCTTAGAATAGGGGCGGGGCTTAGCAGCACAGCGCTAAATCAAGCTATACACAGGGCTTAAAGCAAGAAAATGTTCTGTGCCTGGATGTGTTACGACAAAAATGGAGGGGGTGGGGGAGGCCAGAGGGTAACTGTGTGCAGAGAAGTGGTGGAGACACAACTCATTATTAACGCTTCAGTAAGTTCTCCTTTATTCAGCTCTTTGATTAACTCCTGACTTTACTTTGATTACAATCATTAAAAACAGTTATTAAACTTTACGCTGTTTCCTGTCATTAAACAGTTATTAAACTTTACGCTGTTTCCTGTCATTAAACAGTTATTAAACTTTACGCTGTTTCCAGTCATTAAACAGTTATTAAACTTTACACTGCTTACTGTCATTAAACAGTTATTAAACTTTACGCTGTTTCCTGTCATTAAACAGTTATTAAACTTTACACTGCTTACTGTCCTTAAACTTTACACAGTTTACTGTCATTAAACAGTTATTAAACTTTACGCTGTTTCCTGTCATTAAACAGTTATTAAACTTTACGCTGTTTCCTGTCATTAAACAGTTATTAAACTTTACGCTGTTTCCTGTCATTAAACAGTTATTAAACTTTACACTGCTTACTGTCCTTAAACTTTACACAGTTTACTGTCATTAAACAGTTATTAAACTTTACGCTGTTTCCTGTCATTAAACAGTTATTAAACTTTACGCTGTTTCCTGTCATTAAACAGTTATTAAACTTTACTTTGTTTCCTGTCATTAAAAACAGTCATTAAACTTTACTTTGTTTACTGTCATTAAACAGTTATTAAACTTTACACAGTTTACTGTCATTAAACAGTTATTAAACTTTACACTGCTTACTGTCATTAAACAGTTATTAAACTTTACACTGCTTACTGTCATTAAACAGTTATTAAACTTTACACTGCTTACTGTCATTAAACTTTACGCTGTTTCCAGTCATTAAACAGTTATTAAACTTTACACTGCTTACTGTCATTAAACTTTACACAGTTTACTGTCATTAAACAGTTATTAAACTTTACACTGCTTACTGTCATTAAACAGTTATTAAACTTTACACTGCTTACTGTCATTAAACTTTACGCTGTTTCCAGTCATTAAACAGTTATTAAACTTTACACTGCTTACTGTCATTAAACTTTACACAGTTTACTGTCATTAAACAGTTATTAAACTTTACGCTGTTTCCAGTCATTAAACAGTTATTAAACTTTACGCTGTTTCCAGTCATTAAACAGTTATTAAACTTTACGCTGTTTCCTGTCATTAAACAGTTATTAAACTTTACGCTGTTTCCAGTCATTAAACAGTTATTAAACTTTACACTGCTTACTGTCATTAAACAGTTATTAAACTTTACGCTGTTTCCTGTCATTAAAAACAGTCATTAAACTTTACTTTGTTTCCTGTCATTAAAAACAGTCATTAAACTTTACTTTGTTTACTGTCATTAAACAGTTATTAAACTTTACACTGCTTACTGTCATTAAACAGTTATTAAACTTTACACTGCTTACTGTCGTTAAACAGTTATTAAACTTTACACTGCTTACTGTCATTAAACTTTACGCTGTTTCCTGTCATTAAACAGTTATTAAACTTTACGCTGTTTCCTGTCATTAAACAGTTATTAAACTTTACACTGCTTACTGTCATTAAACTTTACGCTGTTTCCTGTCATTAAAAACAGTCATTAAACTTTACTTTGTTTACTGTCATTAAACAGTTATTAAACTTTACACTGCTTACTGTCATTAAACAGTTATTAAACTTTACACTGCTTACTGTCATTAAACTTTACGCTGTTTCCAGTCATTAAACAGTTATTAAACTTTACACTGCTTACTGTCATTAAACTTTACACAGTTTACTGTCATTAAACAGTTATTAAACTTTACGCTGTTTCCTGTCATTAAACAGTTATTAAACTTTACACTGCTTACTGTCATTAAACTTTACGCTGTTTCCAGTCATTAAACAGTTATTAAACTTTACGCTGTTTCCTGTCATTAAACAGTTATTAAACTTTACTTTGTTTCCTGTCATTAAAAACAGTCATTAAACTTTACTTTGTTTACTGTCATTAAACAGTTATTAAACTTTACACTGCTTACTGTCATTAAACAGTTATTAAACTTTACACTGCTTACTGTCATTAAACAGTTATTAAACTTTACACTGCTTACTGTCATTAAACAGTTATTAAACTTTACACTGCTTACTGTCATTAAACTTTACGCTGTTTCCAGTCATTAAACAGTTATTAAACTTTACACTGCTTACTGTCATTAAACTTTACACAGTTTACTGTCATTAAACAGTTATTAAACTTTACACAGTTTACTGTCATTAAACAGTTATTAAACTTTACACTGCTTACTGTCATTAAACAGTTATTAAACTTTACACTGCTTACTGTCATTAAACTTTACGCTGTTTCCAGTCATTAAACAGTTATTAAACTTTACACTGCTTACTGTCATTAAACTTTACACAGTTTACTGTCATTAAACAGTTATTAAACTTTACACAGTTTCCTGTCATTAAACAGTTATTAAACTTTACACAGTTTACTGTCATTAAACAGTTATTAAACTTTACGCTGTTTCCTGTCATTAAACAGTTATTAAACTTTACACTGCTTACTGTCATTAAACTTTACGCTGTTTCCTGTCATTAAACAGTTATTAAACTTTACACTGCTTACTGTCATTAAACTTTACACAGTTTCCAGTCATTAAACAGTTATTAAACTTTACACTGCTTACTGTCATTAAACTTTACACAGTTTCCAGTCATTAAACAGTTATTAAACTTTACGCTGTTTCCTGTCATTAAACAGTTATTAAACTTTACACTGCTTACTGTCATTAAACTTTACGCTGTTTCCAGTCATTAAACAGTTATTAAACTTTACGCTGTTTCCTGTCATTAAACAGTTATTAAACTTTACTTTGTTTACTGTCATTAAAAACAGTCATTAAACTTTACTTTGTTTACTGTCATTAAACTTTACTTTGTTTACTGTCATTAAACTTTAGGCTGTTATCTGTTAACTTGTTCACCTTTAATAAACTGCGCGGCTCCCCGCAGCTCGGAGTCCTCCGTCATGCTGAACAGGGCCGACAGGATCGGAGAGTGCCGAACTCCCTCCACCATCATGGATCCGTCTAATTCCTGGCTTCTCTCAGCTCCTCAAACTTTTCAGCTAGCAGCTCAGTTAGCCGTTAGCGGGCTAGCTGCCGCACTAGCACGCAGGTGAACGGAGACTTTTAAAAGTGCAAAACTTTCTCCTCAGTCTCCCATCAGTCCCCGCGGCTGCTCCTCGCCCACAGAAGAATCTTCCTACCGTTTCCGTTGTTTGCTTTTCCGTCTTTTCCCCGGTAAACATTCCCGGGTTAGCATGTTAGCATATTAGCAGCGACACTCCGAGACGCTGAAACTCTGATTGACCAAATCCCTCTTTAAGACACGTTACCACAGCAACGGGGGCCGCGCCCATAGAAGACTCAGCCAATCACCGAGCAGAGCAGGCTTTGCTGCCTTCACTGTCCGCTAGGAAACACGGGCAGTGAGGCTTTCAGGTACCGAGAGCAGCAAAACACGTTTATTATCTTGTGCATAACTAACTTTGGAGGCTCCGTACAAATAAAAAATTACATTATTTCTCATATATAGTGACCACCTCAATAATTATAAAAACAAGTGATGTGGGCTGTATAGGTGTCCTCACAGCCTCACAGGACAATAGCAGCACTTTAAAAAGGTTTAAGACGCTCAAATGGCCTCCGGGCTTTCTGCTGCAGAACCCGGCTGTCGTGTTCTCATACTTTTAGTAACTGTGTGTGATCTAACAAACTTTTTATTTAAGTTTTGTCTTTTCTCTCAAATTCAGAGAAGAAGAACAGCAGGAACTGGCTGAGGTTCTGTCAGAGAAGAACAGCAGGAACCGGCTGAGGTTCTGTCACAGAAGAACAGAAGGAACTGGCGGAGGCTCTGTCAGAAAAGAAGAACAGGAGGAACCAGCTTAGGTTCTGTCAGAGAAGAAGAACAGCATGAACCAGCTGGGGTTCTCTAAGAAAAGAAGAACAGAAGGAAAAGGCTGATGTTCTGTCAGAGAAGAAGAACAGCAGGAACCAGCTGAGGTTCTGTCAGAGAATAACAGAATGAACCGGCTGAGGTTCTGTCAAAGAAGAAGAACAGCAGGCACTGGCTGAGGTTCTGTCAGAGAAGAACAGAAGGAACTGGCTGAGGCTCTGTCAGAGAAGAACAGCAGGAACCAGCTGAGGTTCTGTCAGAGAAGAACAGATGGAACCAGCTGAGGTTCTGCCAGAGAAGAACAGCAGGAACCAGCTGAGGTTCTGTCAGAGAAGAACAGATGGAACCAGCTGAGGTTCTGCCAGAGAAGAACAGCAGGAACCAGCTGAGGTTCTGTCAGAGAAGAACAGATGGAACCAGCTGAGGTTCTGCCAGAGAAGAACAGCAGGAACCAGCTGAGGTTCTGTCAGAGAAGAACAGAAGGAACTGGCTGAGGCTCTGTCAGAAAAGAAGAACAGGAGGAACCAGCGTAGGTTCTGTCAGAGAAGAAGAACAGCATGAACCAGCTGTGGTTCTCTAAGAAAAGAAGAACAGAAGGAAAAGGCTGATGTTCTGTCAGAGAAGAAGAACAGCAGGAACCAGCTGAGGTTCTGTCAGAGAAGAACAGAAGGAACTGGCTGAGGCTCTGTCAGAGAAGAACAGCAGGAACCAGCTGAGGTTCTGTCAGAGAAGAACAGATGGAACCAGCTGAGGTTCTGCCAGAGAAGAACAGCAGGAACCAGCTGAGGTTCTGTCAGAGAAGAACAGATGGAACCAGCTGAGGTTCTGCCAGAGAGAACAGCAGGAACCAGCTGAGGTTCTGTCAGAGAAGAACAGAAGGAACTGGCTGAGGCTCTGTCAGAAAAGAAGAACAGGAGGAACCAGCGTAGGTTCTGTCAGAGAAGAAGAACAGCATGAACCAGCTGTGGTTCTCTAAGAAAAGAAGAACAGAAGGAAAAGGCTGATGTTCTGTCAGAGAAGAAGAACAGCAGGAACCAGCTGAGGTTCTGTCAGAGAAGAACAGAAAGACCAGCTGAGGTTCTGCCAGAGAAGAACAGCAGGAACCAGCTGAGGTTCTGTCAGAGAAGAACAGATGGAACCAGCTGAGGTTCTGTCAGAGTCACTGACTCTCTGTACCAAGAAGGCTTTACGCC